GGAACTTTAGTATTTTATTTATTAATTAGAAAAATTGTCGTATTCATTTGACATTTTTTTAATTTAAGATTGCTGGTGGATATGGTGCTGGAAGTACATCAGAGAAACTTTATTATCCATGGGGACTCTATGTTGATTCAAATCAAGCAGTTTATGTTGCTGACAGATCGAATCATAGAGTACAACTTTGGAATTCAGGTAAATAATAAATTTTTTTATGTAATTTAAATAAATAAACTATTTTATAGAATCAATGTCAGGTATAACTGTAGCTGGTTTAACAGGTAGTTCAGGTCCTTGGTCATATCAATTAAGTAATCCAACTGGTGTTACTCTTGATCCATATGGTTACATCTATGTTTTGGATACCGGAAATTCACGTGTTCAAAAATGGTTTCCAGACGCATCTTATGGCACAACAGTTATATCAGCATCAATGAATAGTCCATATGGATTTATGTTTGATCTTCGTGGAAATATTGTTATTACTGATACAAGTTATCATCGAATTCTATCTTTTGCTATGACATGCCGTAAGTTGAATTCTACTTTTAAGTATATATTTTTTTTTTTGAAAAATCTTTTTGATAATTTTACTCTTGGCATAAAAGAATTCTTTATCTAAATTTTAGCTAATGCAACAACACCAACAACAACAACAGTATCACCACCAAGTTAGTTTTTAAATATTAATTACAATAAATATTTGTTTTTATTTTATGAATAGCTACACCACAAGCTTCATTATGTCCAACAGCTCAATGGAATCAAACATTATCTACATTAGCTGGAGCAATATCAAATGCAGGAACTACACCAACTTTATTATATTATCCATATAATATTTATTTTGATGGATATCAAAATTTATATGTTGCAGATACAACTAATCATAGAATTCAATATTTTCCTCGCGGTATATTTGATATTTTATTTATTCTATATATATATATATATAAAATAACTTTCGGGTTTTTCTTCTTTTTTTAGGCACAACAACAGGCATAACTGTAGCTGGAAGTTCAGGTAATCCTGGTAGTGCCTATGCACAATTTAACAATCCATATGCAATTTATGTTGATTCAAATCGAGTAATGTATATATTAGATACAAGTAATTATAGAGTTATACAATGGAAATTTGGTGACCCATATGGTGATGTTGTTGTTGGTGGAAATGGAGCTGGTTCAGCATTAACTCAAATAACAACAAGTTATGCTATGTTTGTTGATAGTCAATCGAATATCTATGTATCTGAATATGGTAATCACAGAGTAACACTATGGTTATCAACAAATACAACAGCGGGAACATTAGTACGTATTTATTGTTTAATAATTTTATATTGATTATTTTATTATTTGATTAAAGGTTGCTGGTGGAAATGGTGCAGGAAGTACACCAGAACGGTTATATAATCCTTGGGGTATTTATGTCGATTCTAATCGAGCAATGTACATTGTTGATAGAACTAATCATCGAGTACAATTATGGCTTAATGGTAAGTAATATATAAATTTGTAACTAATTAATGAATAATCAAATAGGAGCAATCAGTGGTGACACCGTTGCTGGGACAACTGGTGATGCAGGTCCATGGGCTTATCAATTGAATTATCCAACATCATTGTTGTTAGATCAATATGGTTACGTGTATATATTGGATTACAATAATAATCGAATTCAAAAATGGTTTCCAGGTGCACTTTATGGGACAACAGTTATATCAGCATCTTTTTACAATCCCTGTGGAATGCAATTTGACCGTCTTAACAATCTTGTTGTAGCTGACACTTATTACCATCGAATTGTATCATTTGGTGTTTTTTGTCGTAAGTTAAAATATACTGTTCTTATTTTCTATTTATAAGATAAATTTTCAAATTTTAGCTGCAACAACAACAACAACAACAGCTCCACCGAGTGAGTCATGAAT